TTGAGCTTTTGCAGTGCTAAGGTGAATATGCTTCATGAATGGCGCGCAGACATTGAAGTCCATTCATATTGACATCGAGGTTCTCCCCCTCGCAAATATAGGCTCCCTAAATAACCTCACTCCGCCAATGCGGTGGGTCTACCAACTGGGAGAAACGAACTGTTTTAACAGTATTTTATACAAACTCGAGTCACGAACATGTCTTTCCTGTTCTGCCAAACCTCGGCTAACCTCAGAAAACAACCCTTCAGCTTTCAGCACTTGCTTTACAAAAAAAAAAAAAACCTCTTCTCGTTGAAACCCACGCTGCCGTCAATGTAAATGAGCAACCACTCAGAACCAACATGGCGGCCCGTCAAGTATGGGGGCCGTTTTAGCCAGTTGTAAGCAACCATGATCGGAGTTGTCCCCACCCTAAAACTAAGGAGGATTTAAAAAGAAATGCTGGAGTGGAAATGACTTCCCAGGAGTGAAGCCGTTCCACTGGCAAAATGGCGGCTGTGGCGGCCATCTTGCTAGAAGCATGATAAATTATCACCGTTCAGCGAATAAAAACGAAGCGTTTCTCTCGCACGCCCAACAAGTTTAACGTGAGAACTTTTTCTGATCAGATAGTGCTCCAAGTGCGTCTTACAGTTACTAGTTTTTCTTAGTGAGCCTCTAATTGGAGGCAAAGTTCCTTGAAGATTTAGTCATCTATACTCGTTTCTGTGTGTTATTTTGTTGGGAACAACAATCTTTTAACATAAAACTAACGTAGCATTTACATAACATATCAAAGCCACTTGATCTTTAAGTGCTGGGCACCATCAAAAAAGAGCATGTTTTCGCCATCTTGGCAGTGGCAAAAGATGGCTTCACTTCTGCTGGCAAGGCATTGCAAGAGCTTCCACTCCAGCAATCTTTCTTCAATCCTTCTTGCCTAAAACACGGAGACGCGCGCACATGAAGGCTCCCTAGCGTCGCTAGATCGTCACGACGCCGCAACGCGCGTTCATGCGTTGATTTCCGCGCTCACGTGTGCGTGCCCTTATCTCGCTGTGGGGAGAATCGCACGCCTTGGGCTTTCAATGAAACGCTTCTGTTGTAGTTACCCTGTTCAGAAAGACCACTGCACCAGCTGCACAGTCGCCGTTTGTGAAAAGGGCGTCTTTTTCAGACACAGCGAAGCAACAACTCAAACACTTATTCGTGTTCATCTGTACTTTTCAGTGTATACGTTTTGTGCGTCATTACACAAACTTAGTTGCGTGTCCGCAGCAGCAGTTCGGACGCAAACTCTCATCGCAAACTGCTGGCAGGCTGCGTCCGTATGGCGGCTGTGCAAGCGCAACTAAATCTGTTTAATCACACACGTTTCGATCTACTTACCATTCTTCACGTGACGTTCCGATTTGTTGGTATCGCAATCATTGCCTCACATTTGCGGTATAGCTGTGACTTTTTTTTGTTTGTCTCTCTCTTCTCATAAGTAAAGGCGACCTGTTTGGTCTCAGCCACCGGATTTCTCACGTCGTATAGACAGCTACTTAGTTCAGCTATCACAATGCGCCAGCGCGTGTTTTACTTTAAGGAGCGAATTCCATCTGTCGTATTCCGCAAAGGTTCGCATTTATTAGCCTACGTATATAGACGGTGTATTGAAACTGCATAAGGCTGGGTAAAAAAAAAAAAAACGTGAGGCACGCATAGCAGGATGTGCGAAATTGTGAAATCTACGCTTCCCTTTCTGTGGGTGATCAACGCATGCAATGAGCGAAACCTCGTGGACTGCGTCGATTGATTGATTGATATGTGGGGTTTAACGTCCCAAAACCACTATATGATTATGAGAGACGCCGTAGTGGAGGGCTCCGGAAATTTAGACCACCTGGGGTTCTTTAACGTGAACCCAAATCTGAGCACACGGGCCTACAACATTCCCGCCTCCATCGAAAATGCAGCCGCCGCAGCCGGGATTCAAACCCGCGCCCTGCGGGTCAGCAGCCGAGTACCTTAGCCACTAGACCACCGCGGCGGGGCGTGGAATGCGTCGAAAAAGAAAAGCAAAGGAAAGAAATTTAGAGTGGCAGCCGTATAAAATCTCCTGCGAGCTGGTTTGTGGGAACAGCATATCGTGTACTGTACCATGTAACTTCCATTTTGGCGTGATAATGGTCGATAGTGTGGACGGGTGCCAAATATTATTTCCCGTAACCATTCCTTTAAAAGTGAGTTTGTGCATTTTTAGTAGAGTTTAATATTGCCAAGGTTACTAAATCGCTGATATTTTATAGCTACACAAACTTGTGAAAATCTGCACTTTTAGTAAATGTTACCGTATTTAGAGTACGACGACCAACAGCTGGTATATGGCGGGAGAAGAGTATATATGGCAGTTATCTGTTGTTTATGTTCTTCTAGATTGCGCTCAGATGACCCAGGGCTTGGGCGCCTTCACTTTGCCTTCCCCTAGCGCGGCAACTGAGCGATAACGAACGGCCACAAGAGCACACCAACCTAGCAAGGTACACCTTGCAACGTCATTTACTCTTGCGCCATATACCTCTGACCTCATCTAGAGAACGATTCCATGCTGGACACTGGGAGAATGCGTGACCACTGCTACTCCACACGCAGCTCGACCAGGCATCAGTTCTGACGGTGACCTTCATTTCTCTAGGGCGTCCCACAATTCGGCAAGGCATATTAGGCGCCAGAGAAACGGCACCAGGAACAACACCTTAAAAACAAGGCATCTAACAGGGACGTTCCTAAACATCAAGGTGTGCATATTAATTTTTTCCCATCTTTTAAGGCCTACATCTTACACCTCACTATTCGATTTCCAGCTCACTATAGTCACACTCTTTTAAAATGTATTTTTTTATGTTATAGAAAAGTGCGCTATTCGCACAGTTCGTTATATTCGCAAAACGTTTTTAGTCACCTAAGGTGTCAGGATATGTTTTATTTTGCCGTCAATTATCCGGTTACAGAAAGAAATTAGCCGCCACTTCGCAATAACTCAACACTCAAGACTGGCGATTAAACATGGCAATATGCCGTTTTCTTTTGATAACTGGGGTGGACTAGACTGATGAGAGAGTAGGGAAGCTTCCTTCATTCACGGCTGATACTTGATGTCAGACGTTCATTGAAAGAATACACTCGATAGATAAAAATAATATCCGTGCATATCCACGAAGTTGATGCTGATGTTTGGGTGAAGGCGTGTACATGGGACCATGAATGGTGACCTTCTATTTTGTTCTGGTTTACAGCCTTCCATTTTGATTGTGTCGACCTTTCGTTTTGTCATATGCTTTGATTGATGAGTGGTTGAACGTCGGTTCCTCGCATACTGTTTTTTCGTGTGTTTGGTGTTTTTTGGGGTTGTAGCCTTTTATTTTGTTGCTTTTGGTTAACAGCTTCTTGGTAGCACTTTTGTTGTTCACAGATGTTCAAGTTTCTACATCTGCTGTAGACGCTGGGCAGCAGTTTGTGAACGGAAGGACATTGTGCCGTCTTTTAAGGTGCTTCGTCCTAAACATAGATATCATAATTGTGACTCCCACTTGACGAAATAGTGCTTTGTGATGAACCCCCATCTTGAAACACAGACTTGTCCGTTTATCGTATAATAACCATGCTACCGTAGCATGACAGCTGACAGTATATCACGGATATTTCTTCAGTGCGGTCACCTTTGATTGTTTTCACCTTGATCAGTGATTGTTTTCACCTTGGTCTACGTAAGTGTTTGTCACTCGAGGAAATGGTTAGAAAGCAAAGATTGTTCTCACAATAACTTAAGCAGCAGGAGATTGCTATGTTATTTCGCAAGCACTGATTAAACCCAGCAAAACTATATATTATCATCAACGTTCTTTTTTTTAAAGAACGACCCCGTGCTCACGGTTATGACAAAAGTTTGCGGAGCTCGTCTTTAATGAACGGAACCCTGAAGAGGCAGCTAAGCGCGCTTGAGCATAAATCACAAGTTTTGTCGATGGTATACGCCTGGTATAAAATTACGTCGGCAACAATGTGAGTTTGATGCACTAATCAGCTCTTAGATTCAGCCGGACCTCGCTAAAAATAAAACTGGTACATGGTTAGAGCTCTGAAGCAACGCCTGAACAGAACATGGCTGAACAGGCTGGTTGTGCCGCACTCGTAGAGACTCTGAAGTATAGAGAACAAAACAGCTGCTCTTTGCAGTGCCTACACTAGCAACCTAAAGAATAGCTGCATTCTCTCAGTTCCCCCAATATTTTCTTGATAGCTAAGGGTTGACTGTACTTTGTCATATACATTTATACCATGTGCATCTTTCGCTACTTTTTCAGGTGGTCATTAAACAGGGCATAAAGAAGCGAAAGCTGGAGGAACTTTCAAACTAGCTTCGAGAAGTGCCCAATATCAACTGATCCTGATGAAGAAATTTCTTCACTAATATTCAGATACACATATCTTGCCGTGCAGACAAGTTAATTTGTAAGGTGTGAACCCAATTAGCAGTGAAATATTTCTCGCTTTGTAAAGCTACTGAATACTTCCTGAAATATTCCTTAACAATAGGGAAAAAAACGAAAGCATTCTGATAACCAATACTGAGCTATATCGCAAATCAAAAGTCCGGGTCCAGAAGGGAACGAACAAAAAAAGACAGGAAAACATAATTTCATTGCACAAGCAACAATTCATCATACAAAGGAAATTGTAAGGAGGCAGGTGAACTCACTCAATCTTTATAAACGCTCTAACTAAATCGTGATCACTGGAACAAGCTAAGACGGTTGATGAACTCAATTGTAACAAAGAAAGCGTAAGATCACTTACCATTGGAGGTAATTGGCAATGCGCTATGGAATGATTGGAATACTGAATCAGTTGATCCTGAAAGCGAACACGATGAACCGGATTCGAACAATGTAGAAGACAACAGAAGTAAAAAAAAAAATACTTGCCTTGGAAAAAAAGTTATAAAATGGTGAAGTCAAATTGAGATCAGTCAACTACAGTTGACAGGTGAATGACACTCTGTGACGCAGAAGACTTGCTGTGAGAACGACGGCATCGTGACCACGGCTGACTTGCAGCAGTACGATAGCAGAGTGACGTAAGGGTCAACAAAAATTCAAACAAAATTCAAGAGGTAAACATTTTGACTGAAGAGCACACCTCACCTTCGAAGCGGCGACACTCAACGCAGATCTTCGAAAGTTCTATATGAAGATGGCGGCGCCTCACTTCGTAGCACTTGACTACGTGGTGCTCATGTGTTTTCTGGCGCTGTCGGCCGGCATCGGCGTCTTCGTGGCATGGCACGACCGCCGCACAAAGTCCAACAAGCACTTCCTGACGGGAAACAGGCAACTCAACTGGCTTCCCGTCTCCCTGTCCATGATGGCCAGCTACCTGTCCTCTATCGGCATCCTGGGACAGCCATCGGAAGTGTTCCTGCGTGGTTCGATGTTATGGACGAGCGCCATATCTGCCACCGTGTCTATCACTGTTGCTGCATTCGTATTTCTCCCCATGTACTACAAGATGGACATCACAAGCATCAACGAGGTTCGTGTATGACTTCGCTGCATTGCTCTTCTTTTTAAAAGGTAAAGGCGCCAATTTCATGGAGGTACATATACAAGGCTATATGAATCTTCTTTATAAATAAATGGCTGAATAAGTGCAAGGCTCTGTAAATGCTGGTAAGGTACTTAATTTTTATATTGCTAAAGTCAATTTTCCTTGACGCACTTATCGACATTGACACAAGCTTGACGTCAGGCTAGTACGAATTCTGGCGACTTTACGCAGCAGTCTGGCTAGTTGCGATGGCGTAAGGCACCAAAACTTTCAAAATAGACGCTTGTGCGCTATCACAATACTCAAAATAGACGCTTCTGCATCACAAACGTAGCCACCAATGCGGAGTGGCTGTGGAAACGCCGCAAAATCTTGCGCGAGCAGGGGACAAAAAGCAAGTTATGACGTCAGGGTACAATAGGAACCGAAAAAAGCTTTCAAAACAGAATTAATCACAGAATTAATTAAGGTTCATCAGTACATATTATAGGCTTTTCATTTGGCGTAAAATAAAACACACAAATTCTCGCGTCACTTCTCCTTTAAGCGCGAACTGTTCCATTTGTTGTCAGGATTAGTAGCTGATGTGGTCAGTGCAGACGAGTTTCCAGAATCATGGAGTCAGTTCCTCTCACTTATGAAAAAGCAATATTATAAACACCAAAATGTTTTAGATTGGCCCCGGCGCGGTGGTCTAGTGGCTAAGGTACTCGGCTGCTGACCCGCAGGGCGCGGGTTCAAATCCCGGCTGCGGCGGCTGCATTTCCGATGGAGGCGGAAATGATGTAGGCCCGTGTGCTCAGATTTGAGTGCACGTTAAAGAACCCCAGGTGGTCGAAATTTCCGGAGCCCTCCACTACGGAGTCTCTCATAATCATATAGTGGTTTTGGGACGTTAAACCCCACATATCAATCAATCAATCAATCAATCAATCAATCAATCAATCAATCAATCAATCAATCAATCAATTGTTTTGGATTGTTTGCATACCTGTGTAATCGCATGTAATTTTCTAACTTTTATTATGCTTCCTTTTATTTGTTTCTAGGGGTGTGCGAATAGTGAAATTTCATCTGTAATCGAATTCAAATCGAATAGTGGCTGAAATGCGAATATTGAATCTAATATCAAATACAAAAAAATTGTTAAAAATTGAAACAAAGGACAAAAAAATAGAATCTACTCATATCTTCGAGCACATAACGCGGTGACTGGCTGTAACATTGGAAAAAGCTGAACGAGTCTGAGTTAGAGTGAGCCAGTTGAGGGTAAATTTGGCGAGCCCGATTTCGTGTGAGTCCTTGGAGCAGAACATGTTTGAGTAAGTCTAAGTGAGCTCCAATTATTTCACCGTCCTATAGAATAATAGATGTCACTCTAATAGCCTTCGCTTGATATGCATGCCACCCCTACTTGGGACAAGTGCTAATAAAGCGATAAATACATGCTATACTATATTTTTGCGTCCGCGCACTATGTCCTACTTTACCGCAGTGGTTAATCGCCAATAAGCGGCGCGGTTTCGTGGGAGAAAGGTTCACAAGTCGCAGGGTGGGAGCTTTGTGGCTGAGTCCGAAGTAATAAATATTTTTCTGAAGCTTTCGGATTTGGCTATTTATGTCATGGGCTCTTTAGCAACAGCATTGCGCGTGAAAAGTCGTGGTGCCGTTTCAGGCTTGACTGTATAGGTTTTAATACCGTATCATGCAATAGTCTCGTTCGTTTTTGCGCAACAAAAATAACAGTGTATATTGTTCTCTAATACGTACAGGTGCAAATACCGCGAAATAATTCACCGAGACCAAAATTTAAAATTCACATAGATCGTTTACCAGCATTTAAGGACGGTGGTGCAATTTCCTTGTCTCTCTATGCTAGAGAAGCTTGGTTTTGCAGGAAGTTATGAGGGCAGACGACGAGAGCAAGTCTGCGGCGATAGCATGGCTGCTGCCAGCACCTGACAGGTTTTTTGACAAAGCACGGGAAAAGGGTTTGCGGTAGATTGATTGATTGATTGATTGATTGATTGATTGATTGATATGTGAGATTTAACGTCCTAAAACCACCATATGATTATGACAGACACCGTTGTAAAGGGATCCGGAAATTTTGACCACCTGGGGTTCTTTAACGTGCACCGAAATCTGAGCATACGATACTGCATTTTCACCTCCATCAGAAATGCAGCCGCCGTCGCCGGGATTCGATCCCGCAACCTGCGGGTACCCTATGTTGGGCGCACCTATGCAGCATGAAGATGATGAAGATGAAAATGATGAGCTAAACTCGACCAACTTAGCGCACAAATGGAGTGAGGCGATAGTCTGTGGTACTCGCTCTGAATGTCGCGCTTTCAAATGATCCTATGCAACTTCAGGAATACCGAAAGAGTATCTACAAATGTTCAAACCACATATACACACCTCACTTGGTTGGCGTGAGCTGAAAGAGCAGACTTGGAAGTGGAAAGAAATATTGACGCCCTAATCGATTGAGTCACTTATTATCCAGCAGTACATTTTGAAAACTCAAGATTACTTCAGAAGTGTGTTTTTTGTTACGCAATGTGCAAATTTAATGAATTTTGGTGAATGCATTAAATCTAATCATTATCTCGAGTGGTATGTGAGGGGTGTAATTATGATTTTAAAATGACAAAGCAAGCGCTATATTGAAGAAATTCTGTTTGTTTCAGTACTTGGAGAAAAGGTTTATGTCAACTGTGGTCAGAAATATTGCATCCGTCGTCTTTATAATGTCGACGGTAAGTGAATTTTGCTTTCCAGTTATTTGCAACTTTTTGGGGAAACAAATGATGTTTTTTATAAATTTTTCTTCATGAGGTATAATGCACCTTCCTGATAAATTATATTCTAATTTCGCGGTTTTAATTTCTCTGCTTTACCCTATGTTAATTGAGGTGTTGCAATACGAGGGGATGGGGGCACTGCAGCAAGGTAATCTACACCGACTGTAGCACTTTTTTTTTTCAAGAGAGGGGGCTTAGAACACCACCCTAGGTAACTCCTTTATGCATCGCGTTTGAAACTGTGTCACCTTCTTTTGTGGACATGTAGACTGACCTGTCTGTGAGGTAGACCAGGATCCAGCGGTACATACGACCTCCTACGAGGGAATAAAAAAAAAACTATTTATGCGAGTCACGTGCGCCTCATTTGAAAGTCCGTCGCAACAGCAATAAAACAACAATACTGTTGATGAATAGAAAACTAGTTTAAGCATGATGTTTCTTTTGTAGTTAGGCTAGACAAAAACTGCATATGAACATGACAAGTTCGAAGCAGAGCCCTGGAGATATAAAGTGTGAATCGAATACAACTAGAATGAAAGGAAGTCATCGCTGTCAGGCCTAAAGAACGGGCGAAACGCGCATAAATTTTATCGCACCTTCCGTAGCGTTCACATGAGCGAGCTACTTCAGCCTACTTGTAAGCCGATGAAAAATTCAACGGGCGGTAGGCTGAGGGCTCCTGTTCACTGGCCTTGCCATAGCCCATGAAATGCATACAGCGAATCCTGCTATTTATCAGAGGAATCCCAGCCTATTCCATCAAGGTTACACCAAACATAACGAGAATCGAACAATCTCTCCGCAATAGCGATTCGACAAAAGTGAGCGAGTGAAACAACTCTATTCCCAATAGGCGACAAACAAGTCGAATCCAACGTTGACGTCTCTCTTACCAGTGAGCCTTCGGGAAGTGGTAAAGCTTCGTTCAAGATGAATTGCTCTAGATATTGTGACACCCAACAACTCAACAAACGTTGCTGCTGCTAGGCTGAGACATGACACCAAAGTCAAAGAAGAAACGTTTCGCAGAACTGCTGAAAAACACGAAGGAGCCGGCGCGAACACTGGCACCAGCCACAACATTCGAAAGCTTCTATCACCACCCGGACGCGCAACCCGCTACTAGAGGCGTTCCCATGTGCGAAGAGTTAGAAGCGCAGTGTACCCGTAGAGTGTACGATGAGTTCAGAGCAAGTGTTTGATGAATCAGAGAACGATGTACTTAACTACGGGACAGCAATAAGCTGTCCCAGTTTGAAGAAACAATACTAATGGACGAAATCATGAGATACAACATCCTTGCCCCTCGCGATGAGAATGACATGAATGGAGCAAATATGTCTTAATCGTATTCATGTGCCGTGGTATGATCTGTTCATCGCCAGTGATTCTAAAGTATTTTTAGGGGTGAAGCTCCTGGGGCCGTGGGCCATTCCCTTCTCTGTATGTAGTATGTAGCCACCTCTAGTTTATGACTTGCTCAATAGATGACGTTTTTTTGTATATGTCCTTGGGAATAATATAACTAGATGGCATTAGTGCTTTTAACAGCTTATCCATGAAATGCATGATAATGAGTGGGGTGAAGCATCAGTCCATTCATTCATCCGTGTGTCCATCCGTTTGCACGTCCGTCCGTTCACCCATCCGTCCATCCGTCCGTGCTTACATTTATACGTACACGTATTCATGCTTCTGTCCGTCCGTTCGTGCATCCATACGTCTGTCTGTCCGTGGGTGCTTCGGTCCGTCCGTGCGTCCATCTGTCCATGCTTCCGTCCGTCCGTCCGTGCGTGAGTGTGTCCATCCATCCGTCCGCACGTTCGTGCTTCTGTCCATCCGTCGTCTATTCGTCAGTGCTTCCGTTCATTCGTCCTTCCATCTGTCTGGTTGTCTATCCGTCCATTCGTGCACTCATACTTCTGTCCGTCCATCCGTGCTTCCGTCCGACCATTCATTCGTGCATCCGTGCCTCTGTCCGTCCATTCATCTGGACGCACGGACAAGCGGACGCTTCGCGCCACTCATTTGCGCTCACTCCGGGGATATGCTGTGATTTTTTTCCGATTGCATCAAAGCATGAATGTGAGAGCAAAAAAGAGATAATTTTCTATCATCGCTGTTTGTTCATTGTTTATTGATGTCTGACTAAACAGTTCAACTTGTTGAACGCACAGCGTGATTGTAAAGAACTCTTAACTTGATTTTGCAGCTTCTTTATATGGGTGTTGTACTTTACGGTCCTGCGCTGGCTCTTGGGTCAGGTAAGAAGTACGCGTACATTTTTTTTCTTTTCTTGCAACCACTTGCCATATGCTTATCTGATTGGAGAGAGTTTTTGCGTCAATACATAGGTGGCCACCTGCGTTTTGCATGATCTGCAGTTGCGGCGGTCTACTCGTAACCAGATAAAAAATAAATCTTCAGTCACACGGAAAGCTGACTTCTGCTGCTTTAAAATTTTCTACTAAAGGACATTCATGTTGTGAGAACAAGGAAATTGTGTTTGGTGCTATCCACACATTTATTAAATAGACTTTCTTAAAGGAAAGCGTTCGAAATACCAGTAATTGTTCTAGTCAAGGCGAATGATCAACAAGAAGGTGCAGTTTTGAAATAACAAACGACAGATGCAGCTTCAAGTGCAACTTTAGTAATGCACCGTGCCCTTTGAATCAACGACAGCCTTCGAGTTTTTCGTGCTAAACGTTCCCAGGCACTACCTTTCTGTATACATTAGCTTTCTCGAAAGCCTTTAAGTGCGCGACGGCGGTACTTTCACTAATAAAATCTCAACTATAAATGGAATTTCATTAAAAAAACACAGACAAGAACGCAGAAACACACTGTAACAATGCCTCGTTGAGTTTTAAATTTACAATTTTTGTAATCTTTTTTTTTATTCCAGCTGCTCCTTTTCTGCGGTGGTGTGCCCCCTCAGTAACTGATTGCGCGGTATGACAATGTTTCCGAAGTGCATATATGCATCACCTTGTTTATCTTACAGTAACCGGCATACCAGTGTGGTCGTCGATCCTTCTCAATGGTGTCGTATGTACCTTCTACACAGCCATAGTAAGTGCTGAAGACAAGCTTTATATGTTCCGGTATTTATTTACTTAACACACAAAAAACCACACAGACCAAGCGCAGATTTCGAGATCTTGCTATTCAAATTAAAATTAGAACTTTCTTTGTTAATGCTGAAAAATTATCACTGGCTATATATTCCTCAGTTACTGTTTTATTTGAACTAAGAAAAGCAGGTACACGTAAACCGACTGCATCTTTCATCTTAACCTGTACATACTTGGTTCCACGACATCTCGACCCAAATACAGCGCTTATTGTCAATGGGTGACAAACTGTAAAACAACTATAAAGTACCCTTGTCACATGGGTATTCTAAGCAAAGTTAAGTACGATGGCTGTTAAGTCTAACTGCTGTTGTACGTAGTCAGACGACAACCATAACCGCAGTTGATCCGCTAACGACCGTTTCACTAAACAGTGATAAGCAAGCGCTGTTGGCGTAGTAAACTGACAACATGGCAGCTCCCAGGTCGAACGTGAGCAGCTTAGCTCCCAGCGAAACATCTATCCGAAAGCGAGTCAACTGGGCCTTTGCGATGACGGAGGCGTGGATACGCATTTGGGAAGATACATTACGTGTATAAATTACGTGTATATGCACTGCCACGAAAAACTTGCTATTTTAATTAGGCCTCCACCTTCCCTACGCGTAGCTACAGCGTCGTTTCGAACTGGTATAGCTACGCGTTAAAAACGAATAGTTTTTGGGTGTGTGCAGAATGGCGGAGTTCTTGAGCTTGTGCAACCATTTGCTACTAATGGCAGTATGCATTTTGAACATCAGCCCTTGACTAGAGCTAAAACTGTGTTCGTTAAACGCGTACAACTGCAAACGTGTAACAGCACCCCTATTTGGTTTACGGTAACTGTGGTTACGTCCTCCAACTGCAGTTGGGTATAGCAGCGGTTAAGCTTACCCGAGTGACAACAGTATAGGCCTTCAAGTTAGTTCTAGGAATACAGCCACTCTGCTGCGTCTTGATTCAGCCCGTCTTCAAACTTGCAAATTATATCTTTAGACCGGCACACTTTCCTTGATTTAGCAATATATGAGCATTATCATAGCGATATTTTTCCGCTGGCTGCGGCGGCTGCATTTCCGATAGAGGCGGAAATGTTGTAGGCCCGTGTGCTCAGATTTGGGTGCACGTTAAAGAACGCCAGGTGATCAAAATTTCCGGAGCCCTCCACTACGGCGTCTCTCATAATCATATGGTGGTTTTGGGACGTTAAACCGTACAAATCAATTATAGCGATATGATTTAGCAGGCTGCTCATATTGTAACAGTAGTGAGTGGTACAGGTTAGTTGGAAGGGTTCGCATATGAATCAAGTCACGATGAAGGTATGTGTGGGCGGCTCCACTGTGCGATATATGCTATAATTTGTTTCATATTACGGGTACATGTCTTAGGTGCGAGCGGGTGATGAATGCAAACAACGCATTCGAAAAGCGCAGCAGCATCCTGGAATGCAAGCTCACACTACAGAAAGAAAAAAAAACCTCATTGGATCCCATATATTCGCTTAAAGTGACTCAAAGTCTTCTTCTTCACAGTCTTTGTGTTGACCCTCTCCCCCTCTAAAAGCTTTCTTCACATAACTTGGTTTCGTACAACCTTCAAGATGGGAGGCACTTTGCACTGTATGCCTCTCTGATTGGGTGACCGTTGATCAAGCGCGGATGAGATGACGTCATCATGTGACGGCTCGTTATTTCGCGTCACAGTGACACCATAAGACGTCACAAGTCATGGTGGTCTATGACGTTAGGATGACGTCATACGGCGTCGTCACCTCGGGGCGATTTTATTTCATATGTCGTGTTAACACCGACGTCGACCATAAATTTTCGCGCTTGGTGTGGCATCTATGGGTTTTGATTTGAAGAAATCAAAAAGCAATGTGCGGAAAGGCATGTAGTTAGCACGTTAACATACATGAACTTACGCAGGGCGGCATCAAAGCCGTGATCTGGACGGACGTGGTTCAAATGGTGCTCATGTTCGCCGGATACATCATGGTCATCGCCTCGGTGAGTTTGTCTCCACGCTTGGCGTAAGGTTTCCGCGCGAGTCCTTTGTTTGCGACATTCAAAATATTAGTAATAGCCAATAAAACATTTATACCCTTAAGGGTGTAATGAGGTTGTTTTTAAGAAGTCATTTCACCCTAAATAGACCTCTGTTATAATAATTAGGGAGTTCATGAGTAAACCACCTTTGTAACACATCATATACACTTTCGCCTGAGGCGTGTTAGGAAGAATGCTGTATAGAGACCGAAATTTACCGTTCTTTTTGGTACAACTCTAAAAAGCTTTTCTCGAGAAATTTTTTTTTTTTTTGATTTTTCAAGATCATTGTAGCTTCATGGACGGGACTAATTTTGGCCACATTACAGGCACTGCCTCCCGCGAGACAGATAAGCGACAATACGAGTGAAAAATAGGTGAATAAATGACGGAAGATGTTGGTTACATTAAACAAGTTATACTCGTTCTCTGAGATATTTTTTCTCAGACACACGGAAGTATGCGTGAGTTTATAAACGGAGAAACAGCACTCACACTGGAGACGAAATCTGAAAGAAGCAAGAGACATAACATATTATCACAGTAACTGCTTGGAAGAAGTTTCAACAGAAATGAAAGAGGTAAAGAGAGGCAATCAAAGACAGGGAATCTGATCAGACGTAAGCCCCGTTTTCCGCCCGGCATTAGAAGAAAGGGATCGAAGTGTGAAAAAGGCGGTATAATCGGAGAGCGAGACAGACAGCACTAAATCACAGTTTCAGGTGCACGTGGCAGCTACACGCGGTCGCGGACATAGGCGTGTGGACGGAAGAGGAGGGGAGGGGCAGAAAGGTGGCTAACCACCCCTATAGCCACCTAAGAGGAGAAGGACGCGAATTCTGCCTTATAGAAACTAATCAATACATAGTATTGATTAAAAGGGAGGGGGTGTTTTGACGAACTTTCACCCCCTTCCCCTCCTGAAGGGGAACCCTGGGAACGCCTCTGACCGCGGAGATCTATCGACTTTGAGTAAACATGCAATGCCTTCGCAGCTAATTGTGCCATTGACGCATATAACGACAGTCCAAAGATCTTAACAACTCAAGAAGGTCATGAATTCAATCGCTTTTATAACTACCAGAATGGTATCGCTGAGTGCCAAGTGGTGTGCGAACGTGATAGACGTGTTCTATGGTCCTTTTTTTTTTTGTAGCAAGGTTTGCATGCCGATCTGTCCGCTACTTATATCCAAAACGAGCACCTCTTTAAACCCAACTCTTATATGCGGAGGCGGTATAATGATGTTACAACGCAGCGGAAAACTTGCGATCGTGTTTTCAGCTTCAAAGAATGTGGAAGTTCATGAAATTAAAATAGACTAATATCTGCTGTGTGCTTTCATTGCCAACCGAACATAGTTCGTACAACTAGTGTAAGGAACTTTTTTGTGAGCTCGAAAGCTTCCCCAGTCTTGTAATGGGTCGAGAAAAAACGACACGCAAAGCTTTTTTCATACTTTCCACATTAAAATGAGTTCCTTCTTTCACAGGGCTTGAAGCACTTGGGAGGCTTTGGAAATATGTGGAAGATCGCCAGCGATGGAGGCCGAGTCATATACACCAAGTAAGGTCCCAATGTGCAATATCACCGGATGTTTGCGTCACCCCCTAACCCACTTTCCCAGTGCGCGCACACACACACGCATACACACGCATACACACGCATACACACGCACAAACACAAGCACTCGAAATTCGCAAGCATTCCTGCATATATGTGTGCTGAAATGCATGGTGCACACGCATGACACCACCTTTGGTTGGCTCAATATATGACTTCAAGTCATCTTAAGACGCTGCTCGATTTCCCCGAAAAAGTGTCCCTAAAGAGCCACTGCCACACTTTTACATGCAACCACCATGTGGCATCACTGAGGGAGCGGACGGCCTTACGAATCGACCACCACCAAAATTTTTAGAATCCGTCAAGCGCGAGCGCAGGAACATACACTTGTCGCACGCTGTAGTTGCTTTCGCTCTTCTCTCGTCCCGGTTGACGCGGTGGAATCTAAGCAGGGGGGAGGGGAAAGAAAGAGTTGCGTTACGCGGGCGTCAAGACCTTGTGCAGGTTTTTTTCTATCTATCTATCTATCTATCTATCTATCTATCTATCTATCTATCTATCTATCTATCTATCTATCTATCTATCTATCTATCTATCTATCTATCTATCTATCTATCTATCTATCTATCTATCTATCTCTTTTTTCCCCCTTAAACGAGCGCCTTACTTTCAGTGTGCTCGCGAGCTTGCGCATGGGCACGTGGCGGCGCCCTGCGGCCGGAGCAATAACTTTGCAGCTCAGCCTGAATCAGCCAATGGCCGTGAATTTGGGTGTCTGGTGAGGTCATTTGTGGAGGTTGCATTATTTGTAGAAAGAACAGGGGTTGAGTTCTAGCTGATTTTAAAAATTATTTATAAATGTCAAGCCACGTACTGAGCTGTAATGTTTGGCTCACTTCTTCACGAGAGTCTCGACAACCCATTGACGACGTTTTGTGACTGAATAAGTCTTGCAGAGCCCCCTTAAAACACAGCATGAAAAATTCAACCACACCATCCTTACCTCATATGACAGCTTGTAAAACTGTGTGGGAAAAAATACCGGGTACATCGAATTACTCCTGGTGTAACGCGTGTGCTATCGAACAAAGCAGCACTGAACCCGGAATCCGAAGAGGTGTGTTTTTCTAGTATTCCCTTCGTTACTTATGTCAGCGTATAGTGGCCACTTTCCTTCATATATTCAACACCATGTGTTAGTGTGGCGCCATTTCCCCTCTAATACGTGAGTACAGTGAACAGCGACAGGTGGTTGCTTAAATGTCCACCACATTTACACACACACAACCAAGATTTATATCACTACGGGTGGGCATTGATGTTTAGTAATTACTTATGTTGGCTGATTGCTGGCTGATACTATATAATGCTGGCTTACTTTTGGCTAATGTGGGACTGCCTTACCATGTCAAATTAGACATTATTGCACAATTTTAATATATGTCTTGTGTTATATATTGCCAAATTATGTGTAGGTATTTTGTTAATGTATTGCTGCTGTTAAGCGCCAATGAAGGGGCCAGCGGCCTCGTAAAGCTGTCTGAACGACAGCTTTTTCGGCCCGCCCCTTCGTATCAATAAGTGCATTGATGCGAAATTAAAAGTTATTGTCATTAACATATCTTGTCTAAATGGTCAGTGTTTCACTGTTTTCTTTTTGTTGTTATTATAACAGCAGCTCGGTTCTTCACTGAGGCCCTAATTTGATTACGCGGTTTGATATGTATTGACAGCGACCCCAGTTGACCTTGCATTACCACTTTTTTTTCAGCTTCAGCACGAACATGTACCATACTTACACCACGTGGAACGTGCTGATTGGCTACACCGTCATCTGGATGGTCACCTACTGTGCCAGCCAGACGCAGGTGCAGCGCTACTCCAGCATGAAGTCACTCGAGCGGGCGCGAAGGTTGTATGGCCGCTCACTCGCACCGCTGCACTCTTTGCTTCCTTTAGACACTCATTTAATCGCCTGTTTTTAAAAAAAAATCTTGCGACCGTTGGTGGCGATGCCGACGTAACATTAAGTAGGGAAAAGTAACCACCAAAACGATCATTCTTGAACTATCTGAATCTTTCAATTAATCTTTTTGATCAATTACGCCTGTCCACTTTATAACAGAACGAGAATTCCACGAAATTTTTTCGAATTGAATACGAATTTCGCAGTATGAGGAACGACTCTACTGTTGCGGTTAGTGAAAGTGATGCTCGTAGCCGTGACACAGCCTTCGTTGCTATTTTGACGGAGGTCGAAGAGGGCTCTCCAATTCTCCGCAGAGTGATGAATAATGAAATAGTGAGTATTTCGTACTAAATGTTGTAAAGATCAATGGTATAGTGGATGACACGCAACTTCAGGTGCAGTAAGCCACGCCAAGAGAGTCTACAGTGGTCTTAAGGAAGGTCACTTCTTTGTGACTGTACAGCTTGTTCCGCAAAGGTCTCGCGTTTCTTCTGCCACTTTCAGATGGTGCTTAATCGTGCTCAATTATGGGATGCAGATAGTAAAGCCACTTTCAGCTGGGTAGCTCAAGTGTAATCTGTGATTCAGTGGGAGTTAGGGATCCCTGAGGCTTCACCAGGCGCGCCACTTAGCTACGAAACGCATTGGGCTGTTTCCATAACAGCTGTCTATAGCTTTACTACAGCCTCCTATCGTGACTGATATATATATACACCACCTTTGTCACTAGTTATCGGCGTTGGTCACGATCACAGCAGACATTCATGGTATAGGGAGTGGTGTCTGGAGCTGCAGCGTGTTTGGGTAAAGCGCCAGAACAACGAAGACGGAAGACAACAGCAGGGACGAGCGCTCACTCAGGCAACTGAAAAGTTTTCTTTCATTAACACATGAACGTAAAGGCAATTCAAAACGTACCAACATTGCGCCGATGTGTTCAATTTGAATGCGAAAAGTTACAAAGCGTATCACCTAATGGCTCATGTGCTGAGAAGATTCCACATCGTTCACATATCTATTTGCAATTGAATTTCATCGATACGCTAGTGCGGTGCATTCGTTAAAATGTCAATGTAAATCTCGTGCTGCCACCGCTAGAGGCGATGGCTGCAGCTGAGTTGACTGCGCGTTCGCGCCGATGGTGCCGACGGCGTCTCTGCGTTGTTTTGGGACTTGTCGCTACGCGCAATTATGCCTAGTTCACACTGAAACATCCGCTTTCTACAGTGACCGAAATTCCCCTGCCGCCGAAACACAGCGTCGTTCGCACTGGACGCGCCCCGCGCCACCGAATATGCCATCTACTACGGGGCGAACGCGGGATGGATGCGCTGTCACCCGGTTGTTCTCGCGGCTCACAAACGCTACTACGCTGTCCAGTGGTGTATACTTCGACGATTCTCGCACGCAAGAAAAGACAGTACTGCTAACTTTGCTGGCAAGTGGCTGTCTTGTAATGCACGAAGAGCAGAAAAACCACCGACGCCAGCGGCGTTGGTGGGTTCGTTTTGCTCAGCAAGACCGCAACAAGCTCGGTCACGCCAACAGCATGCTCGGTCACCTCTTTCAGGAAATACGGAGGCGAAGTAGGCACAGAGTAGGTTAAACTCCCGTTGGTTTCAACATTCAGTTACGTGCACTGCAGCATAACAAGTGAGTAGGGCTTGGCCGCCATTTTTCAAAATTCCTTGACTAGCGCTCCTATTGGTCCGCTGTGACCGATTCGGCGGCAGACGCCGCGAAAATCGGTCCGAGAGTGATCGGCGCGGAAAGGGCCCTTTCGGCGGATCTCGCCGCCGCCGAACCGGATTCGGAGCACTTTCGGCGGCTGGAATGCTCAGTGTGAACGCGGCCTTAAAACGCCTGCACTACTCGTTGTCCTTTTAGGGGCGAAGCTTTTTATAGCGGCACCCGTTCGTCCCTCGTGGCCGTAATATATAATAGTGTGTAACATGCATTACATTTTGACCTCCAAAGTGGTGCGGTGGGAGATGTTTTCTGTGCGTTGTTGAACAATAAAAGATAGTGCTCAATGTACATGCCGATAACTGCTAAGGGGGAATGAGAGACAGGAGAATTCGGCTTTCAGTTGACGCGCACGCTGCAAATGTTTTATTGTTCAATAACGCACAGAAGACAAGAAAGGGTTGCTACGTTATACTCGCTGGGAGTAGAAAGGTTTAGCGAGCGTTGGGCCGCAGTGCCACGAATACAGTGAACTAGTATATACCATGAACCCGAGGTGGTTAAAGGTGAGAAGTAGACACGAAGCGCAAGCCGTAAGAAAATGTCCGTGTGCCTCCTCTCGTTCAGTCCTTGGAATGTCCGCTGGATGGCGGTGCTTCTATATGAGGAATATATGATGAAAAGATGCAAGATGGTGGTACTTGGAGTGTTGAATAGGTGGACGAACGGACACACAGACAGATGCATGGATAGACGCACCGATGGCTGCACGGTCTGATGGACGCTTGGACGGACGCAGGAGCGGATGCATGGACGAAAGCAGAGACGGACGCACAGATGAACTTGCGGACGCACAAACAGACGCACGCACGGACGGGTGGATGGACGCACAGGCGGCCACACAGACGCACGCATGGATGGACGGAAGCAAGAACGAATGGACAGACGAATGCTTCGTCCCACCATCCATCATTCACTCCATGAATATGCTGCCATTTTTTTTAAAACCAAGGAATGCGATAGAGTTTAATACATGCAAAATAATAGCTTCGTCCTTTCTTAAAGCAATTAAAACCAAGGTATTGATCGCCAAGCACATTTTAACCACGTTAATTACTGGTAATTTTTTTTCTTTACGTTCGAGTTTAGTACAAGCACGGCTGACGCACTCACGTTGATGTGTGTTTGAATGCTTTTCTGTAGAGCGCTGCTCCTCAATATCCCTGGCGTCGCTGGAAACCTGATCTTGTCCGTACTGTCTGGACTTACCATCTACGCAGTTTACGGGAACTGCGACCCTAGGCTCACCGGAGACATCAGCAAAGCAGACCAGGTGACGCATGATTCGAATAGATGCAATATATATATATATATATATATATATATATATATATATATATATATATATATATATATATATATATATATATATATATATATATATATATATATATATATATATATATATATATATATATATATATATATATATATATATATATATATATATATATATATATATATATATCCTAAAGAAGGCTCACATATCTAAGGTTACTACTGCTAGGTATAAGGGCGAGGTTGCTTGGGTGACCTGAACGCTAGTGGAAGGTAAAAGAGGGGGACCACGAAAAACGAGCATTTCATGAATTTTCAAGAGCTATCAGTAGTGGCAGCAGTGATCTTGCCAGAGATGCCAAGTGTAGTATGCACTATGTTCACAGGCGTAGATATATGGGGCTGGTTCGAGTGTTAAACTCCTCCCTCCCACATACCCTTCTGACTTCTTTTGTTTCTTTGCATTTGGTAGGCAAACTAATCTGAAAGGGCACACACATATAAAAACACGCGGGAGCATGTACAAAAAGGCTCGGGCCTACCCCCACCCCCCACCTTTTCCTCGGGAAAAGAATGTTCTGACTGCGCCTTTGGCCCTGTCGCCTGCTGTAGCTAAAACAGAGGGTAAAAGCCACCTATCCGTCGTTTTAGAAGCAGCTTTCATAGTAGGATCTAAGCAGTTCCCAACTCATTCGAAGCACTCTAGACCATTCGAGACGATATTTTTGAATGAAATCATGCAATGGCTATAACAGGCTTCTGGCATACACACGTTTCCCATTTAGCACTTTGAACTGAAAGAGGCTCACAACCTTTTTTTTTTTTTTCAAGTAATCACCCATAGCCGTGGATATTGAGTTTGCAGCATGGTCACTTGAGAAACAGCGGTGAATTGCACATCTGGTACTGCGCTATATTGTTTGCCTAACGGGTTCTCAGTAGCCTTGACTACCGATCGGCAAAGTTTTCCGAACTTTCTGAAAAAGTGTTGCAGTGCTGCTTCAAGGATATGTCACAATTGGCAGAAGTTGATTTGCTAGTGTCAGGCGTCCAAGATGGTGAAATACAACCATTATAAAGCAGTATTTCGAATATTCCTTTCACCATTAGCTGATGCCGTACGCTGTGCAAGATCTGCTACGAAATTACCCGGGACTCAGCGGGCTCCTCGTGTCCGCTGTGCTCAGTGGCTCCCTCAGGTGAGCGTCCAAAGTACCCGAACAGCAAGCCTTTGAAGTAATTTGATTGTTTCCCTGCAACAACATTTTCCGAGTGAGATACGCAAATTTAGCTCTATACACGAATATTTCCTTTACACAGTAGCATGTCTTTAGAGTAAATTTACAATTTGGATCAAGGCTGTGCTCTCACGAGTATTAAGGGTTTGACCGCAATTAGTGTACAATATAGCATAATATCTGCTGTCTGCTAGCATCGGATTCATTGTTAGAGTACCATTATTGTTTGGTCTTCAAATGCGTGGTTCCGCCACATTATTCATCCTAGCGAGCTTTTTGTGCTCATAACGCACGTCTGGCTCTCTTTTCTTGCACCTGTGTAGTTAGAATAACTGAAAAAACAAACAAACAAACGAGCAACCGCACTTCAGGCGCATCAGAGCTCTTTCACAGTTAAATGCAAATTTCTTTACTCGTGTACAGTAATGCACCAATAACCTCCTGTTCAGGTTATTGTTGGGATGAATGTGAAATTTTCACAACTGCGACCACTTTGCTTTCAAGTGAGACACTCGGATAAACATGGCTACATGCGTAGGTTCACTCTGAAGTTCTCCATTTCAAACTAGAGATCTAAATACGGGAAACGACATTTTATATTGTTGGCCCCTTCTGAATAAGTACGAAAAGTTGACGTTAGTCGCATGAACCACACATGGCGAAGACGTGTTCTGTTCTCCTGTTCACAAGTATTAGTCTTAGCTACGTCCTATAAAGCTTGAATTTGTTCAGGTTAGCATGAAATTTGGAAGTTTCTTTGCGCTTTACGCAAATTCCCTAAGTGAGGCACCATTTATTTCACTGATAAACATCTTATGATAAGCCTGATATGCTGTGCGAAATCTGGTGCACTTATATGACTTACCTTTAACTTTTTCACGTCGTGTTATTGAGCATATTCTTCCCTTTAACATTATTTCATTTTGCGTATAGTTGATGAACGTTTGAGAAAGATAAACAGCTGAAACCACGCTCTCCGGCTGATCCTAATCCGCTGTGTTCTTCATTTCGGTCCTCAAGTAGAGCGCAGAGGAGCACAATTACCAAATCAACTTTTTTTGAGTGAATTTACCAACAAATTACAGCATTTCCCGCTAGAGGGATCCATGTGCGGACGCGAAGCAGCGGGGAGATGGTGAACGGCCACAGAAAATTGTGATTCATGACCTTTACCTGACTATTGCTGCCGGTGACCCTAACTATAGCACTGCTAAACAGCCAGGTCCCTGAATGCACACGCCACAGACATCGAACGTGATTACGTGTTAACGAAATCAGACGCGCTTCGCCTCACGGAAACGTAGAACACGTTTCCACGGGGAGCGTAGGAGACGAGAGAGAGAGGGGGGTATGCGCATGCACAGTGGATGTGCGGACGCCACTCTTGTAAGGAAGTGTTTCTGTGGAAGAACGAGTTGAGCTAACTCTACCTTGTAAGTCATTACCTCAAATCAACCAAACAAGAAAATAATAGATTTACAGAGTCTTATTTTTTTCTTTAAAATGTCACTCTCGAAGCAAGCCTCCCAAATATTGAATGGACTTCCAGGCACTATAAGTTCGCTGCCATCACCGGTGACTCGGAAAAGAAATGGAAGGCGTAGGAGAGGAGAGACAAGGGAGGGGACGCGCATGCGCCGTAAGGATGGTCACGTCGCACACCGGATTGAACTCTCCACCATAAGCTGCTTCGCATCTAAAAAAAAAAAACTGAAGACAGAGCGTCGAAAGACGCACTAAACGCGTAAGCGCGAATGGCATCAGAGGTTGTGTGTGCAAGCGTGCCTTCGATAGCGCTTAGCCAAGAGGAAATTGAGCTGATAACCGAGGACAGGAGACGTCAGTATAGCTTGGGCAGCTCTGTGCGTGCGTGTGATTGTTATACATCAAGTTCATCTACGTATTGAACAGTTACTAGTTTGCGCTGACAGTGTTTCCGTACGTCTCTTTTACTGCTGCTTTTAAATCTCTTTTTTTTTTAAACGTTGATCATGTCTAACCAACTATCCCATTGTCCATTTTTCCGTATTAACCTACACCATAAAAGAGGAAGCCCTGATTTGAAGTGACTTCCCTTTGAAATTTTACGGTTCTCGCTGTTGTTCAGCACGCTTTCTTCAGGCTACAACGCCCTGGCAGCCGTGACTTGGGATGACTTCGTTCGTCCTCGGGTCAGCGTGAGCGAAGTCGCCGCGCTCCGGCTCACGAAGCTGATGGGTGAGCGTCTACCAAAACCACTCGGCACTTATGTTACCTCTTTATTTCTTAACTGCACAGCGCAACTTATCGAAGCTTGAATGTTGCAGCTGCAGCTTACGGCTTTCTCTCCATATCCATTGCTTTTCTCGTTGGTTCCATGGAATCTATCATTCAGGTGAGTCACGCCTCTGAATCACTGTTAAAGCGAAACCTTCTTGTTGAACGTTCTCGGATTTCGTCAACCATGTTTGCTAAAGCAACATTGCAAATAAAATATTATTATGCCACACGGTTAAAAATAATGGTATTCAATGCATTTATTATAACAACAATATCGGGGTCAACGTCCCAGAACCACGATATGGTTATGCCGGACGCCACATAGTAAAGAGCTCCGGAAATTTCGACCAACTGATGTTCTTCAACGTGCACAGGCATCTGTTGCTCAGCACAGTATGCGGGCCTCTAGCATTCCACCTTCATTAAAATGCGACCGCTGGCTGGGATCAAACCCAATACCCACGAGTAATCAGCTGAGCGCCGTAACCGCTACACCCCGGCGGTGGACCTTTGGACAAGGAATTCTACGTAAGTGTAGAATTCCTTTTATCAAGCCACCGCTTACTCTTTTCCGTCATTCTCAATAGCATTCACCAGCCGACGTCTTACATTTGAAGAGCCAAGAAGATGCAGAGGGGATGAAGCCGTCCTTGCCGCCACTGGACGTCCACTGAGAGACGAACGACATTATACTAAGGGTATCCGCAACGAAAACGTAGCCGTCGTTGTCGCGTTGAGGTTATTGATAGACACAATGCCCTCACACCTAATCTGATTGACAACCCCATCAGCTCGAAGTGCCCTGCAGGTTCTGGATTCCCTGTATCCCGTCCAAGTCGATCCGTACTCGGTGACCGCAGTTTTTGCGGCCCTTCGGGCATGTGCAGTACACGCGCTACTGTGCGTGCTACCGTATAACTTGCCTCTCTTTCCTTCTACATCCTTTCCCTCCCATTTACTCCTTCCCTAGTACACGTTAGCAAACCGGGTACAACCTGGTTAACCTCCCCACCTTCACTTTGCTTTTCTATTTCTTCCTCTCTCTATGCATTTCTAGCTCATTTGTTGGCGTGTAGAGTGGTTTCGTCCAAGAAGCAGTGCAATAATGGACTCGGCTGATCCGGGAAACCTGCTAAGCTCAAGGGCGCGGGTTCAATTGCCAGCCTATGAGACCACAATGCGTTGGAGGTCGAAATGCATAAATACCAGCGCAAAAACTCTGGTTGAACATTAATCCGTAGTGCCTCAAACGGCGTGCCTCATAACCATATCGTCGTTTTGACTCTCACAAATCCTAGTTATTCTCATTATTCCGGAGACGTCTTGTACATTAAAAGTGGGCCATTCAGAAAGACAGCGATGCTTTGTATATGGCGCTATTAAAAACCGGCCTCTCCCAGCCATGCTACTGTTGCACTGAGCAAAATGCACGAAAGACTAACAAAAGAAGAGAACAGGACAAGCCTCTTCGCACAACTTTTCCAGCAGACTTTTCTCGTTTGTCCTTCGTGCATTTTGCTCAGCGCAACTACATTAGCATACCGTTTCAAGTAGCCCATGTTCATGCTTTGCTTTCCCGCGGGTGAGTGAGGGAATAAACTTCTATTTGGTCAAGCAAAATGCGATAAAGTGCGCACCTGACTAATCCCATGACGCGACTAGCGGGTCTGCTAGACGGCCAGGATTTTGTCTTCATGTGCGGGACTCGCGTCATAGTGCTTTCCACGTTTTTCCACTTCATACCACAGCTATGAGACCGACAGGCTATGAGGCGTGCTGCCCAGCATAAACAAGGCTGTTGCAATTAACTAACACTGAATGCAAGTCTTTAACCGGGAATGAGGCGACTCCCCCAAGTCACAACTAGTGTACAGTCTTGCCGTTTCATGTAAAAGGTAATGCGTAAACAACTCGTGTGCTTTTTCCGGCTCGCTAATAAAATCGCAAGACAATTAACAAATGCTCCTGAGATGTAATCAACTGTGTGAAAGAAGCCCACAAGAACGCCGACGGGACTAGGGTTGCAATGTTAGTGCACGATTAGGCTTCGTTTGACAAGTGATCAGACTTAGCTCCCCTCCCCTTACCCACATCCGTAAATAGTACCCGGGCTTCACTTTAAACGTATACCATCATTTTATACCTTAGCAACCTCAAACAACCGCCCTAGTCAACAGCGAGAAAATTTCGGGTTACTGGGCTGCGTATACAGGGGAACATTACGGCACAAAACTAGAAGACAGTCGATCTCGAGTAAAAGGATTTGCGGACGTTTCCGGAATCCCACGCATCTTGTCAGAACGCGAGAGCCGGAGAAAGCTTGTACTTCAATGTGCTATTGCATCATCATCTGTTTCCAATTTCGCAGCAGTTGCGATTAAAAAATAAACATGGGCACTTATTATATCCTAATCACCTAAGTAGAACGTGCTGAAAATGGGGAATGAAGCAGAAAAGTGGGAGTAATCTGTTAGGGTCAGTGTACTAAATGTATTGCCCGTTTCAATGCGTGCTCTCATGGTGATTCAACAGAACTTTACTGTTAGTGGTGACGAGTGACACCGGTGTGTCGTCCCTTAGCTCGTCCAATCATCCATGCATAATCACATCGTGGTTTTGTAATGTTAAACCCAAGCCACTGTTATTGTATCCCATCCAAGCAACACGAGCTGACATGGACGTACGACACAGTACGAGGAATATCCCAGAATACAAACTCCGCCACTCCTCCGGACATAGCCCTGTGCATGATTTGATCTTGGCGGCGCAAGCCCGCGTTGCATTGCAGCTGGGGAAGGGGAGAGCATTGGTGTAGCTTGGGTATGGCTTCGGTGGCAGGCAAGTGTGGTGTGGTTTTAGGGAGGAGGCAAGTGCACCTTTTGCCGACCCCCATATGCCTCAAGGATTGTTTCACAGTGCCATGGAGCCTTACCTAGCCGGTTTTTAAATCCATCATCCCTGTCGTAGGCCGCATCATCGCTGGTGGGCGCCCTGTCCGGCCCTCTTCTTGCCATCTTCACCCTGGGAATTTTCTTCCCGTGCTGCAGAAAGAAGGTGAGAGGGAAAGTGTGAGGCGCGGGTAACCATGATGCCCTCCTGGCAGAAACAATAACAGCCACAGTAGTACCAGAGACCTTCAATGCTTTTTGAAAGACTCTGCTTGGACTCACGCACACCTTTAAATGTTATGAAAACCCAGCCTCATCCCGCTGCATCTGATTCATCACTGCATCACTTTATTATTATTACTTTTTTTCTGCTATAAATTTGCAACAATCTTGTTCACATGCAAAACACAAGGTTATGTGCCCGAAGTAAGAGATAGAAAACGAGATAATGAAAAGCTAGTAATTTGCGCTTGCACATCCTGCCCTCTTCCAGTAACCATGGTCCTGCCTGATGGAGGTGAAATACGTTTAGTGAAATGACACACAATCTCTTGTCGCAGACGGTGTGCATTCTTACCATGCGATAAGGACGGCGAAATGAGTAGCACCTTGGAAAGTTGTGTGATGAGTGCAGGCCTGGAGCTCGATTGAGAAAATTGCGCTGTGTCGAGGAGCTTCATTGGGTTGCACAAGCCATTTAATAGTCTCGCAATGTCACGCAAAAGCTCATATGGGTGAATTGAGCTTAGCGTTAATAACGATGGTCATGTTAGCAGTTGACAGAGATTCAAGTTTCCATGTATCTCATAAAAATAGCTATGTAAGAACCAGTTGTGACGACACAGACCTCACTATACTGAAATAAGCTTCACTGCGGCTGTAAAACTCATCTGTTAGGTCAGTGGCATGAACTGATTCAGAGTCGTTATACCTGGATATAATTACCACTGTTCTCACCATGAAATCACAACATTTCACAAAATGTGTACGCGTGTCGGATAACTGAGTGAATGCATGGTGACACGCAACATACAGGGTGCCATTACGGGGTGTTTGGCAGCACTGGCCACATCGTGGTGGCTTTCCCTGGGCTCCATCATGCATCCGCGCGAAGCGGACGACTTGCCCACGTCGACCGCCGGCTGCGTTGACTTCAACCAAACCATCACAGCGGGCTCGTTTGACCCACGACCTATTCCCAGGTAAGCATGTGGCGGTGCATGCTTTTGGGGCGAAGCTCCTTAAGGCGTGGGTCCGTACATCCTCTGGGGTATTTAGTTGTAGTAGGTAGCCACCTCTAGTTTAGTTCTTGCAGTGTGCACTAGATGGCGGTACTGGGAGTGTTCACTAGATGGCGTTACTTGTAGTCTATAAATAGATGCGAGATGTTGTAAAACCAGAAGGTGATACCTGTAGTCGATAATAAAATAAGCAAAATGTTATAACATGAATGATTTCAGATATGGCAAGTGTCATTGGTGGAAGGCAATCGTTTGATTTAGTGCGATGACGTACGCTAAGGGGAGCGTTGTAATGAAATTAGTTCGCTGTTGACGTGCTGTGAAGCTGTGCGACACCGCTACCTAAATCCTGCCGTGCGAGAGCATACACACACAGCTTTTCTCACGTCTTTAAATGATGATCGACTCGGCGAATTACACGGAAGATTCACGGTGCACCGACGATTCCCTCCGGAGCTTCGCCCACTCATCATCATTCACCCAGTGGATACGCTGTGATATTTTTAATCCGTCACGGACGTGTTACATCGGCCCCCATGTTCACAATTATTTCAGGCGGACATTCGTATAAAGTTGTATCATGTGCATAGCTGTAAATAGCCAGGGAAAGGTGACCGTGAAGCAGCAGCCGCCGCAGCACGACCGGTAGAGGAATGTGGCTTAGGAAAATGTATTCTTGGCCTATAGTGGGTTCAGGGGTTCTGAAGAAAAGAAAAATTAGTGCAAAGCAACACACAGACAAACAAAGAGCACGGGATTGACACAAGGAAATAGGGCCAGTTTCGTGCTCTTTATCTGTCCGTGTATTGCTTTGCGCTAAATATTTTTTCCGGTAGAGCATGCGTAATTCTGAGGTTGTGGTTCTGTTTAAATCTATGGCATTTTAAAAAGTAGCGAAGCCGTTGAGCCAGCCGTAATATTTGGGGCATGCAGGTATATGCTGTGCGCCCTAAGCAAAAATCGTTATCATGATAAACGAGAATGTGCCACAAAAATAGGGTGAATCCCACTACTCAGGCAACTCAGCACTTGTGCAATCAGAACGAAGAAGGTGGCAGTGAGGCCAACAAATGGCTGTGGAGCGACGGCGGTGACACGAAGACCCCAAGAACTTACAACGAGAGAATGCTATAGGCACATAGCAAGAGGCCATTGGGAATGGGAAAGGCGACGCCGGCCGCTAAATGACCCCGGAAGAGATGGAAAGCCTACGCAGACCACATGCCCGTAGGTTTATGAGAAGGGTGAATGCTTGGTTTCAGCGTGAGGTTTGAATATCCGTGTCGTGTCTGCGACGCTCTGCGGTTAGTTCAAGGCTCTCTGCGCTGAGAATCAACGTAGAAACAAACTAGCACCACCTAGCCAAAGCCTAGCAACGACATAGAAGCAATCTAGAAATAACCTGCGTCACCTAGCTCAGGCCTGGAGAAAGCTTAAAAGAAACCAGATCAGTCTTCAGAATCATCAAGTTTGGCAGTGTCAAGCTTTGCGTGGCTTTGTGCAGGCTTCGCCAATTTCGTTTCGTAAACTTTCATCCTTAATTTTGTGATGGCACTTATATGGGCACCTCCGGCGTATTTCGCGCCGTCGCCGTGATACCCCGGATATGCATATTAATGTATGCATAACTAAAACCAGCAAAGAAAAATAAATTTGAAGAAATATTTCCGAAAGGGGTCATCGTGATTCGGGCCAGTGACCTCTCGCTCTACAGCGTGTCATGTTGGACCACCCTGCCACGTAAGTGAGTGAGTGATAACAACTTCGTTGTTGTCCAGCGCAGGTGCTGAGGTTTCCGCGTGCCACCCAGCTAGACAGTAACCCGGCTACTCGCTCGTGGGGAGCAGTATGTCTATCTTGACGGACCTTGTTCTTCCGAATGCCAACGGCGAGCCATTTGCGCACAGCAGTTACCGCTGGCAGTACGCAGATCTCAGAGGCGCTTCAGCAGATCCAACACCACTTGTGAAATGGTGCGAGATGTGCGCTTTGAAGCAATGGTTTTAGAACTTTTTTTAGATGCGAAGCAGCTCTTTGATTAGCTTGTGTAACGATGTCCACCCGTGTCTCCGTGCCAACGCACCACAATGCGTTTCCCCCGCCGAAGTTGTTGGAACGATGCCAAGTAGGAAAAGTTGCAGCTGCGCATTGACGTCACTCTCTTCCTCACCCGCAGGAGCTGCCGGCTCCTCCCAATACACCTATGTGGTGTTGCTCCTACGCCCGCTCGCAACGTACTTTCTCTCCTCACCCTCTCCACCACCCGAAACGCTCGACTGCACGTCGAGTGGAAACACTCTTTCGGCTCGTTTATCTGCGATGAAACGTACGCGAAACTCAACCCGCCTCCCGTGTCTTCGCGTTTCAAAGAAACGTTTACTCGAGTAAAGACTACACCGAGTTTCGTCTCAAACCGCCCTTACAGCACTCGCTTTGACGCCCGTTTCAACGGCGGGCGCACCGCTGCTGCTTTGCATTCCATCATGGTTACTTTCGGGCAGATGGTCTATCTGTACGTCTTTTTCGAGCATCCTTGTTTGTGTTTAATAAATTCTCTTTCTATATGGTGCGAGTGCCTAGCAGCGGCAGTTCATAGCTCGTGCACGTCCAGTGTGTGTTCTTTTAGCACAGTCCTTGTACTTGACAGACATGCTGCAAGGGTCGAGTTGCTTCTCATTGGTCGTGTGACATTGGAGCACGTTGATGTTGCATTTATTGCTTCGTCGTTGTGCTGAAATGGTGACATTCATAGCTTGTAACTTTTACTAAGAAATGAAATTGACAACCATGTGTTTCTAGCACGAATCCTCTGAGAAAAAGCCATGCGGACTTTTTAGAAAGAAAAGTGCCTTCTATGACAAAATATAATATTCATGGTCCGGGACCAGGACAAATTTTTCGCAACTAATATACATTCTTTCTTAGGAATCTGTATAGGTTTCCTTGGGGAGTTATGCTACAAATACGTCGTTGTTAATTTCCTTTTCTCAAGCATTCCGCCACCCTGCGTGATTTCGCCGAACTGATTTGCAATAACGTCTACTGCATACATAAAGCTTGACATCGCCTCACCTATACTTTTATTGACTTCGTTATCGGTTGTCGAAATGCTATCATGACCAGCAGAATTTTGCTCCTTGGAAAATTTTAAGGGGCAGTTAACAAGCAGAATTGCTTGTTAACTGCATAGGGAGAGTTTCTGCTATGGCAGCTTTGATGACTTCGCATAGCGTGCAAGATGTGATTTACCACTGGCATGTTTCTCAAGAAGTTCCTGTACTGCATAGCGTCATATGACAAAACGATGTTCAACTCCCTGTTTGCTTAAGTGTTCCATTTTCACACTGGTTTTACTGCATCGTGCATACCCTGTCACGGCCACAGTTGACACTGGCTGGCATTGATGTTTCGCGTTAACGCCATAAAAATAGTGCTTTGCAGCACTGAATTTATGTATCCAGCAATAGCAATCGGCTAATAGTGCTACAGAGAATGTACTGTAGATTTCTGTGCACAACACCATTTTCTTACCGCACAATAAACGGCATGTACTAACAGAGGCTGACAATCACGGTCGGCATTGTTTGTCTCTCTATCTAGTCATCAATTTAACAGCGGAAACCGTAAATAATTGCAATTACTTACGTGCGTAAGTGAGTGCTCATATGTACTACCAACACCAAGTAGTTAGAGAGTACTGCAGTGTAAGTGTATGTAAGAAAAAATCTACCAAAGCACCAACTGCACGATAATGTGAAGAGAAAAACGAAATGTAGTGTGGTGGTATTGCTGCATGGTGCACTTCGGGCCTGTAGCAGATACATTACAGGACGTGTATCTGAAAAACTGAGTAACTATGACACCAATAATGTAAGCGATTGTATTTGTGAGCTTGTCTTGATTGAAGTCCTGTTGTGGTTGAAAGTTAGCCAAATCTTTCAATCTCACTGAGTGAATAGGCAGATTATCTAGCGATATTCAGAGACAGCATATAAAAGAAAGACAAACACAGTCATATTGAGCATCAGTAACTGGCGATGTTTTTCTTGGTTACCCTGAATTCCGTCTCCATTTCGTCTTCATCTTTTTTTTTCGTACACCCAGTGGCATCAACCGCTTCTACCACATCTCGTTCATATGGATCGGCACCGTGGGATTTACCACGCACATGGTTGTGTCATTGGTCATCAGTCTGATCTTCGGTGAGTGCAAGAAAGGAAGTGCCTCACTCGTATTCTGAAAGTGTTACAGAAGTTTCAGCATCATCAACACGGTGCATTAATACGCTTTTACACCAGCCTCGTCTTTGTAAATTTGAAGTTTGAAAGTTGTTGCCACATAGGTACAAAACATACATAAACAGCAAGGATGGTATTATGGAAGCTGTATATAGGCCGCTTGACTGGTCCTACTGGTAAATCTTTTTCTTTACATCCGTTGATCACATCCACCCATTAGCATAGTGTTTTATTTATAGTTTGTTTAGGGGTTAGATAAGTGCGCTTTCTGCAACACCACGTGTGGCAAGTGGCAATGGTCTTAGATATCGGTATCGGTGTGTAATGCAAATGTTCCCGTTGAGATGTGTCAGCTAGGCTCTAACTAGAGTTGAAGTCCCGGCCAGAGGTAGATTACGATTACGTCATAACTAGAACCCCCAAATCCATTTTTTATATTGGAGGTGTGACCCGGAAATCACGAGACTCACAGGAAGTTTTGTGACAGCAGTTCTGTGATCCGGAGGTCACATGACGTTAATGGAAAGTAGTGTTTAGCGAAGAAGAAAAGTAAGGTGCAGTGTAGCTGATACGCCATCTTGATTTGATCACAGTCTCGATTGAGATCTCTATAACAACGCTTTTTCACCTCTTCATTGCAACTCACTGGCAAACAGTTTCATCTGAGCCTTATATATTGGCTACAGTGAAAATGTATACTATACTTTCAGAGTATCAACACGCTAAATTGGTTCTGTGACAACGGTTTTCAGTTATCTTTTTCTTGACTCAAGCGAAAGGCCAAGCCCTCGAGAGCCCAGAAAATGCACCGTTTAACGAAAGAGTGACCTGAAAGATGAACTACATCATGTTTTCAAAAGGTAGCTTCGTTTTACACAGCATCGTTACGTTTCCGTTGCTGCTGCGCTCAATGGTTCCGTCTGTGACGTACAGGCAGCCATTCTGTGCGTTTGATATCTGGCATCGCCACAGTTTTTGATAATGGTGGGAAAAGTCATCAGAATTGACAGTCTAGTTTGAAGTAACCCTCATTTTGATGTCAGCAGGTGCGTCAGGTAAAAATTCAAAACAAAATATCATCGTTTCATGAGCATTGCCTTTTTTTCAAAGCCTTCTCCGCATACAGGAATTTGTATGGCGCGGTAAAGTCAGCTTCGAAAATTGGTGCCAGTACCCGTTTAGCAAACGGGTGATCGTAATTACCATTCACGGAAACATTTATCGACACGCAGAACGAAACGAGAAAGAAGAGGTGAACCCCAAGTACATCTGCCCGTTTGTGCGCCGGTACATGAGGAACTACGTCAAGAAGCTGAGCACCGAAAATGTGCGCAAGGAGCCTTTGATAACAAGGTTAAGTAAACACCCAAGAGATATAGTCTAACCGACACATATCTTACCTGCAACAAACGAGTTTTGGTTAGATATATTGCAGAACTTCATGAACAACAAGTAATAACTGAGTTATTTTATTTTCAAACAAAATTTGTATTGCAGTTGGCTCCACAGCTACGCTTTGCGGTAATGTAAGAAACATGCCTTCACGACAATACGCGGTTTGTGTTTGTGTGTGTGTGTGTGTGTGTGTGTGTGTGTGTGTGTGTGTGTGTGTGTGTGTGTGTGTGTGTGTGTGTGTGTATCTGTATGCGTGCGTGCATGTGCGTGCATGCATCTGTGTTTGTTTGGGCGTGCGTGCATGTGCGTGTGCGTCTGTGTGTGTGCGTTTCCGCAGTTTGTAATTGGGGATGCGAGGTGATATGCATGAGCGGGCTATAGACGAGAATACAGGTATAGATATAAATCGCGGCACAAAATTTTCAGCTGTGCTTACTAGACGAGCCCCGGAAGCAGGTGCTTCGCCTTTGCCCTAATATAGTCCTTGTTGTTCAATATGATAATCGGCCTGATTAGCGTGCTGTACGCAGCGGCGAAGTCAGATTTCTGGTCACAACGTTCGGCCGTATACTGATCGTCGTCAGCCTTGCGGTGAACAGGAGGCGCTTCAGTTTTACGAAAGACCTCGCGTCAGCAAAACAAGTGGAGAAGCGAATGGTGCAATGATATATAGAGGAGAGTAGATCCTTGATTCTATGGCGCACACCCACGGTGAGGGATTGGACAAGAACTGAATTGCCTTTATGTAAAAAATAATCATCGTAGTCAACATGACTACGCCCACTGCAGGGCAAAGGTCTCCCCCAAAATCCGCCAATCAACCCGGTCGTGTGCTTTCTGCTTCCGCGTTACACCTGCGAACTGTTTAATCTCATCGGCCCACCTAACTCTCTGTCTCCCCTTCGTGCGTTTACCTTCTCTGGGAATGCAGTCAGTTACCCTTAATGACCAGCGGTTATCCTGCTTCCGTGCTACGTGCCCGGCCCATGTCCATTTGCTCTTCTTGATTTCAAATAAAGTATCCTTAAACCCAATTAATTCACTGGCCCACCCTGCTCTCTTCTTGTCCCTTAAGGTTACACTTATCATTTTCTTTTCCATCGCTCGCTGCGTGACCTCAATTTAAGCTGATTCCTTTTCGTAAGCCTCCAGGTTTTTGCTCCAAAGGTAAGTACCAGCAAGATGCATCTGTTATTAACCTTGCTCTTGAGGGTTAGTGGCAGATTACCATTCATGACTTGGGAATGCTTGCCGAATGTGATCCACCTCTTCCTTAATCTTCTAATTATTCCACTCTCATGGTTCAGCTCCGCGGATACTACCTGTACTATGTAGACACAATCCTTTAAAACTTTCAGCGTCTCTCCATATATCACAAAGTGCTGTTTGTTGCAGACTGTTGCGCATTATTTTAGTTTTGTGTATATTATTTTCAGACCTGCCCTTCTGCTTTCCGCGTACAGTTTATAATCATGACCTGTATTTCGACCCCTGAGTAACTCCTGAATGCAATGCCATCAGTGAATCGCAGGTTACCAAGATACTCTACATTAACTCTTATCCGTAACTCTGATAGCTGATAGGTGGTCAGGTGGTATTCTACAGTGCTAAGAAAGTGCAACAGTCCACCATATTCAGAGATAGCGCAGCAGCCTAGCATGCAATGACAAAATTCTGTGTGAATGCAGATGCCGGACCCTCCCAATCATGCATTTATTTGACACGCGTGATAAAGGAATCGTTAAAAAAGAGGTCTCGGGTGCGGCCTAACTGGCGACCACCTGATGGCAATGCACTCCTTCATCAGGTCAGGATTGGCAACCCAGGTGCAGTACTTAGCAACTACCCCTCTATGAACGTACCAATTAACCTTGAGCCCTCAGTCCCCAGCACCTGCAAAGAACCGTCCAAGGTGGCGCTCAGACCTGCGATGCAGCAGAGGGTGCTAAGAATCTCCGGGTCCGGACAGCCCGCTTTTAGAATCTCAACTTGACTACGTTAAACGCTTGGACACTACTAGGAAGGCTAGTCTAGCTGTGCTATTCGAGAAATTAGAGGTTGTTAAATAGGTTGCAAAGGGCTCAGCGAAGTTACGAGGACACGCAAGGCTTCACAGTGTCAAACAACGGACACGTCGTATGATACGGTGAATTAGTGGACAGAAAAGAACAAGAATATCACTGGCAACATAGGGCTACTATGGCATCAGTGAGAGGGTGGCAAGAATCATAAGTAAGTTCAGCAAAGGTACCCAATGAAGGTGGTAAAGACCTACACGCCTACATCGAGCCATGATGATTGTTTGGTGGAACGCTTTTATGAACACGTAGAGTTAGCCAATAATAAAGTAAAGACACAGTATACTGTTCTGATGGTCAACTTTAATGCCAAAGTAGTCAAAAAACTGCCTGGAGCCCATGCAGTTGGGAAATATGGCATCGGCTCTAGAAATGCCAGAGGGTAGTTATTAGTAGAGTTCGCCGAACGCATTAATTTACGGATCTTGAATACCTTCTTGAGAAAACAGGCTAACCTTAAGTGGAAGTGGCTGAGTTCTAATCGTGAAACTAAAGATGGCATAGACTTCATCTGGTGTTCACACCCAGGCATTGTACTGGATGTAGATTTAGTTGACAGGATCCGATGCAGGGACTGTAGAATTGTAAGAGTTCGTATTCACCTAGATTTAAAAAAAGCAAAGACAAAAACTGCTACGCAAGAAGCCAATTCACGAACAAGCGGCGAGAGGTAAAGTACAGGAATTCAGAGTTTCGCTTCAGAATCCATTCGAACCACTAAACGAGGTAACCAACGTTAGCGTTGACGCAATTAACGATCATCTCAACAATATCATCTAAGAGTGTGCAATGAAAGTCGGTGACGCAGTCACTAGATAGGGCACTGGAAACGCAGGTGACAAAAAATCTCATTAACAGACGACAAGCCGTGAAAACCTCATATGCATTTGACAAAATGCAGATAGATGAGGTTTCAAAGCTAATAAACAGGGGTAAGGTAGCCGACATCAGAAGGTATAACGTGGATAGAATAGAGCAGGTTGTAAAAAAGCGGTAGAAGCCTAAAAGCTGTGAAGGCAAGGCTGTGCATAGGCAAAATCAGATGTATGCATTAAAGAACAACGAAGGCGGTGTTATAACCAAAATGGATGGGGTAGTTGAGGTGGCAGAGGAGTTCTACAGATCGACGTACAGAAGCCGAAACAACGAGGATTATATTGTAAGGAGCAATAATATCCCAGAGGGATTCGACATCTTACCAATAACAACAGGGGAAGTAATTAAAGCACTAGAATGAATGCAAAGAGGCAAAGCCACTGATGAGGATAAGATAACAACGGATTTGCTGGAAGATGGCGGAAATATCGTGTCAGAAAAAACTAGACACCTTATGTATTAAGTGTCTCTTGATGGGAAGGGTACTAGAATCTTAGAATAACGCCAACATCGTCCTAAATTATAAGGAGGGAGACGTGAAGGACTTGAAAAAATTACTGGCCGATCAGCTTACTGTCCATTCGTCTACAAACTATTTACAAAATTAATAGCTAATAAAATCAAGACGACATAACACTTCAATCAAACAAAGGACCAAACAATATTCCGTAAAGCCTATTTTACAATAGACGGTATTTATACTATCGATGATATAATCGAGCAATGCGTGGAATACAACCAACCCCTGTACATAGCCTTCATAGATTGCGAGAAAACGTTTGACTCAGTCGAGGGATAAGCAGTAGTGCAGGCACTACGGAACCAGGGCATCGATGAACCCTACATAAGCATACTGAAAAAATTCTGCAGTGGATCCACATCTACCATAGTTCTCCGTAAGAAAACAACAGAATGCCAATAAATAAGGGTGTAAGGCCTGAAGACACGATCTCTCCAATGCTATTCACAGGAGGTTTTCAAAGCCCCAGGTGGGATATTTATAATTTCATTATTTAAGAAAAGGTTAGAATTGCTCTAATTGATAATAAATTACGCAGCTGTACCGACAAAGACGATAAGAACACAAAGTGCAAAGGATGTCTTCGTCTGTAGTGCTGCGTCAATCATGCAAGCATTCCAACTAGCCAAACTTTCAATTCTACTGAAGCGAACGGTAACCTCGCACGACGGACAGGTGGCGCCACGTCGAGTAATCACGGGGGAAACCACGTCATGGCATGCGCTGATTTTTGGTCGTTCTTCATGATGCCCTCAATGTTCTAATTCTCGCTTTGCAAAATGCAGGTGCAAAAGTTCCCATGTCGTGAAAGACGTCCAACTTCTCGGGAAGTTTGCGTTTCTCGATGTTCAATATATCGAGGGTTTCTTCCAGCTGCTTTCGTTCGTTGCGACTGTAGATTCTCCTGTGCGTTGACGTTAAATCCTCATCAACTTCAAAAATTTTTCAATCTAAAGCGTAGTTCCGTTTAACCTAGTCGAATATAGCCGGGTTCAAACGCATTGGCGCGGATGATGGTAACTGATGTAGACGTACAGTTTCGGTCTTGTTATTCCTGGCTTATGGTATCTAAGTTTGAATTCCTATCTCAGTCTTATTTTCGTTTTAAGCCAGTTATGTATTTTGTGTGTGCGGATCATTCTTTAAAAATCAGAGCCAGACGTATTCCACATGATTTGTTCCTTACGCAGTTCCCGTCAAAGTAAATATTTTTCAACGTGTGCCCGATGGTTTTAGTGCTTTCAAATGCAATAAAATACCAATCAAGTTCGCGTGTCTTTCCATATTTACACCTATATATTATAGAAGTGAGAATGAAACACTTACGGACGACATAATTAACAGAAAAATAAGAAGCATGTCCAGCAATCTGAGCCATTTCCAGTGCGGCAAAGCCGGCGCTAAGGTGAAGTGCTGGGCGTAAGACTTAGGGGAGCGTTCTTCGAAAATTTATTACTGAACATCCCTGGTTTTTCGCTAATTGCACTTCAGACACCTGATACTTACAAATTATTT